CATTCCACGTCACCCCCGCTCTCTCTTGTCCCCATCTTCTTGCAAACTAGTAGCATACGTCCTGGCGATTTATTTCACCTTGCCCGAGCCACTGCGATTCACTGTAGCGTGTTGTTGTGCCTTGCCCCGATTGATTGCGATTCATCGGTAATCTCTAGGTGCTAGGTTCCGTCCTCCCCCACCAGACATGTAATTTCAACCCACCGTGACATCATCTCGTCGTTCTGTTTTTTTTTTCGCGCCCCATCTGACATCGAATGACCCCCCCCCCCCTCCCCCTCCACTTTTTTTAATAGGAGGAAAAAACTTCGGGCAAAACGGCCAGGACAGCCGCTGCAACGGAAACAACACCCACACCTCCGGCCACGGACATGTAATCCAGAGGGAAAAGGACGGCGGGGGGGTGAACCGTCAATACCGTATTAGTTTCATCTGTTCGGCGGGGGGGGGGGGGGTACTCATAGTCGTGCATGCCGTAATCCTTTGACCATTGACCTCGCATCCCTACAAAGCCGGGACGGAGCACGCCGGGTTCTCACCGGACCAGGCTCTCACATCACCAAGCGCGAAGCGCCGTGAGGTATTTGGCGAGTCGCATGAAGGGTGAGCTGCATCCTGCTTAAGGGTGTTCGGCATCTTGTGCTTACTTCCTTGCGGATGACAGCTACGTATGACTTAATTTACTTTCTGGTGCTTTCACTTCCAGAGACAGTTGTAAGCACTGTGTAACTGCCTCGAGGAAGCTTGATCATTTTAACACAACGTGGTGGGATCATCCCCCGTTGCGCGGAGTGAGGGTTCTCCACCCCGCACAACATGATCTACTCGACCACCATTATGGTTACCGCCAAAAAAAAAAAAACGAGGTAAAAAAAAAAAACGGTAACCTGGTTGCCGAGTTCACGAAGTGAATTGGCTTGTTTTATAACGTCGTTGCCAAGCGACGAAAACCCAATCCCGATGGCAAACACCGAGTGGGGGGCTTGTTTTACAACGTCGCTGCCAAGCGACGAAAACCCAAACCCCGATGGCGAACACCGGGGGGGGGGGGGGGGGGGGGGGGCT